TGGACAAATATCTTGTTTTTTATTCAAATTCCTTTCAACCACCCCTGAAATGACTTCTTCAGATGGATTGTTCAAACTGTAATCTAATCAAGGACCAAGAACTGGATTTGGTTGTTGTACCTTAAGTGTCTTAAACTGGAAGAGTTCCCTGCTGGTCTGTTTTGTGACATTTCTTGTGGTTTTGCGGCCATCGACTTGAAGAACTCAGGGTTGACTGTCCCGTCCAGATATGTCTGGTCACGTCTGATCGCTTCCTCGTGCTCTCTCGTTCCTTAACCCCTGCGTCTCCTGCCACCTGGAAGCCAGATCTAAAGGCTCGATGACACTCAGGTTGACATTTGGCACGAAGACAGCCCAGGCGCCGCCGCTGCTGCCTGCGGACCCTGTTGGAACACGAGGAAACCTGACGTGCTTCCTGAGCAAACCCCAGTTTCGCCTCCTGTTTATTTTTTTTTGGAGTAAAATATACATGACATAAAATTGACCATGTTAACAGTGTTAAAGTGGACACTTCGGCGGCATGTAGGATGTCCCCAGTGTCCCGCCACTGCCACCCCCCTCCAAAATTGTTCCCCATCCCATTACGCAGCTTCATCTTACAAAATGGTTTTCATCTGTCCTTACAAATCTTTTAAACAAGTAGTTGAGGTCTTTTATAAATTGTATTTGTTGATTTGTAAGAGAGAGAGCACAAAACATCGATTGGTTGTTCCAATTATCGATGCGCTCATTGGTTGATTCCTGTATGTGCCCTGACCAGGGATCAAACCTGCAACCTTGATGCATGGGGACGACACTCCAACCAACTGAGCTGCCTGGCCAGAGTGTAACCTTACACTTTTGAAGGATAAATTAAAAGCACTTTCCCAGCCCTCTACTCCCAAACCACTTGGCAGCCTGAGGTTCACAGTGAGGTAAGAAATATTTCCTTGTGGCTCTGTGAGCCAGTCCGGGCCTCCCTGGCTTAGCTCACTCCAGCCTCTGAAACTGCAGGGTCAGTCTCCTAAACTGGGGGGGGGGGGTGAATTCTGAGGGGGGCCCTCCAGATTCACTGCATCCCTCCCTATGCTCTGGCCATGGCTTTTTTAGAAGAGGCCGCAGCACTTCCTGAAAGGGTGAAGCTACTTCCCACCCTCGCACCCAGGGCCCCATGGCTTTTCTCAGCCTCTGCAAGTCCCTCGGAATGTAGGACTGTAGGGAGGGGACTTGGAGCCCCTCCCTCCACAGCGAGGCCACTGCCTCCTGGGCAGATGGCCAGGGTGCTGGTCCCGGGGCTGCACTGCCCCAGCCCATTGGCAGAAGCAGGTTCTTTGCGGCATAATTGGCTTCAGCGGAGTTTGATTTTATCAGGAGTTTCAGCCCTGCTTGGCAGCCAGGGCCCCCATCTGCCTTAACTTCGTCCCCCAACAGGCTTCCTCAGGGGGTCTGGGCTGCCTCCAGGGGGGCCTTCTCTTCATCCTTGGACCCCCACACCAGTGAATGGACCTAGTGTTCCAGAGCAGGTCCGCAGGGCCGAGCCCAGGGCTTCCTGGGCTCTGCACAGTCCTGATAAGGCAGGCCCGGGTGCCACCCCACTGGCTTCAGCCCTGGCGTTGCTCTCCCAGACAGAAAGGGGAGGGCCCGCTCCTCAGACTGTGGGGCGGTTCTGGCCCTCAGACTGGTCTCAGGGCTGCTATTGTGGGAATGGCATGGCTCTGGAGCACATCCTTGGCCTCAGGCCAGCAGGGGTGGCAGGCAAGCACCCCCCAGCCTCATCCCTACATTTTGGTCCCTGTGTCTGAACCACCGCTGCCTGCCCCCCCACACACACACTCCAGTAAGCAGAGGGATGGCTCCATCAGCTGGGTGATGTCCTGCAACTTAACCTCTCAGAGCTGTAAAAATGAGGGTTACAAAACTATACCCAGAAGGGTTTGGGGAAGATTAAATACGAATCTTCTAGACACGCAGGAATTGTGTGATAAGCTTGATCTTCTTTTTTTTTAAATATTTTATTTATTTATTTTTAGAGAGAGGGGAAGGGAAGGAGAAAGAGTGGGAGAGAAACATCAATGTGTGGTTGCCTCTCGTGAGTCCCCTCCTGGGAACTGGCCTGCAACCCAGACTTGTGCCCTGACTGGGAATTGGACCGCGATACTCTGGTTCGCAGGCCCTCGCTCAATCCACTGAGCTACGCCAGCCAGGTAAGCTTGATTTTCTTTCTGCTTGTTTGTTTGACACAGCTTTCTGCCATCGCCGGGGCTGGGTCAAGGAAGCTGGGCAAGCTGGCCGTTCCCAGGAGGGTGGAGAAGCCACCTTGTCCCTCTGCGCCCAGAAATGCTGCCATAGACAGGTAGCTTCCCCCGGGACCACCATGTAATGGTGCAGTGTTGAGACCTTGGGCAGAATGGCCGCTGTGGAGGAGGGACAATGTCCTTGGAAGACCCGCCCCTTACCCAGAGCCACCAAGGACACATACTCTTAGTGTCAGTAAAAATCTCCCAGCTGAGACCTCAAGACTCCTTGTCCAGCCAGGACTGGAGTTGCCCAGATACCTCAGCTGCCTTTTCCAAAGGGGAAGGACATCTTCATTGTCATTGTTCCCCCCCCAACAGGAACCAGAGGCCTAGAGCAGGAGAGAATCCCCCCCCCACACGCAGTTCAGTGAGAATCTCTGGGGGTGGGGCCCGCTCTGGGTTGGGGATCATTTCAGATCTCCAGCAGGCGCCTCTAATGTGTAACCAGGGCCAAGTACTACTGGTCTGGTCCAGCCGCCTCATGGTGGAGAGAGGAACTCACAGGGAGAAAAGCAACCCCAGAAAGGTTAAAGGAAATGCTTAAAGTGACAGAGTGCAATGTAATGTAAACGCCCCAGGAAGGACGCTATTATGATTTCAGTATTTCTCTCACAACCATTTTCAACGTTAAAAAAAAAAATCACCTGGCACGCATACACTGATCACTACAGCTCTGTGGCACACCAAAAAGACTGGGTACACGCTCAGGGCTCAGAGGCTGGCTGGGTGCAGGGCTGGCCTGGCCTGGCCTGGCCCTCTGTTGCCCAAGGAGGTCCCTTCGTTCTGCCCCATTGCTGGGAGGAGGCTCTGTCCTCACGGCATTCGGTAGACACTGCGGCTCTTCAGTGCTCCTTCTTACTGGCTGTGAGAGGCCCTCTGAGCCTCAGTTTCCCCATCTGTGAAAGGGAGGATGTAACGCCTGCCTTGCAGAATTACCGGGAGAAGTGCACGGAATCATGACTGTCCTACTAGGTGCTGGAAATAAGTGCCTTCCCTTTGCTTTATTGGGCAGAGGGGGAATCCCCATCCACCCTCAGATGCATGGGCCCCGTGTGCTTCAGATGCAGCCTTTGCAGCCACCCCAAGGACTTTCTCCCCCGTGGGTGGCCCAACTAGAATAAGTTCCCGGATGTCTGCTTTTCTCACCCAAATTAAGGACAAGCCGTTCTGGGGAAAGGTTTCTTTGTGGAGCCCGACAGGTAGGCTTGGGAGAGGCCTTTAGTGAAGGTTGGCTGCTACTGCCCCCTGGTGGTGACTTATCTGTACCTGCACGAAGTCCTAAAATCCTGGGAAGGAAATGCTTGATAACGTAAACAATTCAATTTAAAAAAAAAAGTATTGCTACTGTGCTAGGCACTAAGGATACAAAGACTGATAGAACACAGTTCTTGCCCTCTCAGGACTCACAGTTTAGAAAATGAAGCAAACTCCTAAAAGTTGACACAGCACCTTTTGGGTGCTGTGCATGTGGGTGGCCCGGGATGCCCAGGCAGGAGGGTGTGATTGGGACCACGTGCAGAGACCACGTGGATTTGACGGTCTTTTTCCAAGCCATTGGGTCAGAGACTCTCGGTATTGGAAGGAAAGGCAGTCAGGTTTTGCAAGAGAGTTTAAGTTCCTCTCTGCTGTTACAACCAATAATACCTTTTCTGCAATCGAGGATTCTTTTTACTTATTAAAAAATATCTGCTCCCCGCCCCAGATCACTATAAAAAAATTTTAAAATCACCATAATCTCACCACCCAGAAACATGCACTGTAGACAAGTTTCATGCACAGTATTAGCTTAACAGTTTAGAAATACGTATGGATAGAAATTTGGAGAAAGTGTGTGCAGTTTGCAGTCTTTTTTTATTTAATCTAACATTACATATAACATTATTTTAAAAAGCTACCCGACGTTCCTTCCCCTTGAGTACCATACCTCAATCATTCCCGTTAGAGTTGTTTCCAATTTTTCTCAAATTAAAAAACAATGATGTCCATACCTCTTTTATTTGGAGCTGGTTACCTTCTTCAAATATAAGTTACTGGGGCAAAGGGAGTGAACTTTTCATTTTTTTAAAAGATTCTTATTTATCTTTAGAGGGGAAGGGAAGGAGAGAGGGAGAGAAATGTCAATGTATGATTGTCTCTTGTGCATCCCCTGCTGGGAAGTAGCCTGCAACCCAGGCATGTGCTCTGATTGGGACTAGAACCGCAGTTGTCTGGTTCGCAGGCCCGCGCTCAATCCACTGAGCTACACCAGACAGGGCAACTTTTAATTTTTAATAACGTCACTTACATTACAGAAAATTAAAGTCTTTGCAGTAGATTCTACTCCGTAGACAGTCTAGGGTGGCTTCAACCCAGTTGGATTCAAACCATCTCAAACTCCTTCCCGGTGCTATTTTCAAGGACATTGTAAACATCTAGAGCGGGTCGCCAAGCTTTTTGGCACCAAGGACCGGCTTTGTGGAAGACAACGTTTCCACTTGAGGGGGTATGGTTTCAGGATGATTCAAACGCATTACATTCAAGCTCACATCCTGCTGTGCCTGGGGATCCTGATAGACCCAGACCCGTACTGGTGGTCTGCGGCCTGGAGGTTGGGGATCGCTGCCCCAGAGGTGTGCGTTTCACACCTGCGCATTTTCGCCCAAACGCACATCTTCCCAGAAGGGAAACTTTCAGACACCGCCCTAGCACCTCCTCTTTAAATTTTAAAACGAAGGCTTAGGCCAATCAATGTTAAAAGTTTCCCGGAACACGGAGCCCCGCCTACAGACACGCCCTCCACCAATCAAGCTGAGGTTTTGCCCCACGCCCTTCCAATCAGAGCCGAGGAAGACGGTCGCTCACGTAAATTACGTAAAGGGAGGGACCAATAAGAGCCGAACTTGTAAACTGGCTCCGCCAATGGTATTGTTTCCTGGAGAGCGCGCGAGCTTTTAGACCAGGATCCCGAGGAGAAGTGAATGGCGCTGGATCCCTGAAGCAAGATTCCAGGGGACAGCCCCGGCCGTCCGGCGGCTGCGCGGCCGACATGGCCTGTTGTCAGCACGTAATGCTGCTGCTGGATACCGCGGGCGGCACCGCCGACCAGAACCTGGCGCGGCGGGCCGCCCTGCGCCTCCTCATCTACCTCAGCTGCCGATTCGGGCTGGCCAGGGTCCGCTGGGCCTTCCGGTTCTTTGACTCTCTGGGGGCGCGGAGCCGGCCCTCCCGCGTGTCTGACTTCCGCGAGCTGGGGGCCCGCTCCTGGGAGGACTTTGAGGAGGAGCTGGAGGCCCGGCTCGGGGATGGCGCCCCCGGCGCCCACCTGCCCGGCCCGGCGCCCAGGGCCGCCCACACGCACGGCGCCCTGATGGAGACGCTGCTGGACTACCAGTGGGACCGGCCCGAGATCACGTCGCCCGCCAAGCCGGTGCTGCGCAGCAGCGGCAGGCGGCTGCTGGACGTGGAGAGCGAGGCCAGGGAGGCCGGGACCGCGCTCGGGGGCTTTGGGAACGCGGTCTTCCTGCTGGCCCCCTGTCCGCACTCTCAGAGGGAGCTGCTGCAGTTCGTGTCCGGCTGCGAGGCTCAGGCGCAGGGCCCACTGCCTGCCGCCAGGCAGCTGATGGAGAAGCTGCTGCCCAAGAGGGTCCAGGAAGGCATGATCGCCCGAAAAATCACCTTGTACTGGGTGGACACCACCGAGAGGTCGCAGGTAAGTCAGATGCAGCGCGCGGTGGTCTCTTGGTGAACCGGACTCGACCATGACACAGGTAGGTAGGCAGGCCCTCGGTACCTACTAAGTCAAAGCGCTGGCGGCGCGAACTCGGCACCTTGTTTCCGCTGAGAATTTCAGTGCCAAGACTCAAACTATTGCATAAAGTAGAAGAAGGGGGCTCAGGGAACGAGCTACGGGGGCAAACGTAGGGAGGGCCCTTGGAGCACAGTGGGGAGAAGTGCGACGGTAACGTGGTTAGGGGGAAGAGGAGGGGAGGGAATAAAGGCGGGCGGATCCCCGGGGACCGGGAGTGGCTGAACCCAGTCCTAAGGGATTTAGGGCAGGATCTGTGGGCTGTTCTCCTTTCCTGCGGCGCCCTTTCAGAGTCCTGGTCGGCACAGGGGCGGGGGTCATCCGTGTGTGCGGCTGGTCCAGGTGTGGGCTGAAATATCTGGGTGCCCAGCCATGGGCCAGACTAGGAAAACGGGGACCTCCTTTCTCGCTTTCTTTTCGGAATTGTATTACAATAGGTGGACACGATCTTTTTTTCCCTCTAACCTTTTGTGTTTTAATTATATTTTATTGCTTATGCTATTACAGGTGTCCTGATTTTTCCCTCTTTCCCCTCCTCCACCCACACCCCCGACTCCCTCAGGCAATTCATGTCCATGGGTCACGAGTGTAAGTTCCTTGGCTGCTCCCTTTCTTTTACTGTGCTTGACAGCCCCGTGGCTTTTCTGTAACTACCTGTTTGTACTTCTTCATCCCCCTCCCATCTGGCAACCATCCAAACGCCCTCTGTATCCATGATTCTGTCTCTGTTCTTCTCATCTGCTGAGTTTGCTTTTTAGATTCAGTTGTTGATAAATAGGTATTTTTTGCCATTTTATTGTTTGTAGTTTTGATCTTTTTCTTAAATAAGTCCCTTTAACATTTCATATATGAGGTGGTGATGATGAACTTCTTTAGTTTTTTCCTTGTCTGGGAAGCTCTTTATCTGCCCTTCCATTCAAATGAAGGGCAGTCTTGGCTGTAGGGGACAGAATTTTTTTAAAGATCTCCTCCAGTTCTGATATGCCACCGTGGGACACGGTGGGTCTTTTCTGAGGCTTCTCACATCTGTTAGGTTGTTGCCCCCAGGAAAACACCTGTCAGGTGTCAGGTAATCTTAAACTTTGCTGTTTATTTTTTTTGTGATGATCTGCCCTTTCTCCTTCAAGAGCCTCTGGCCAGCCACACTGTGGAGGCAGTAGGGAGCCTCACCACCCAGGGAGGAGAGGGAAGGAGAGAAAATGCAGGGTCTGCCTGGCAGGACTCAGTCTGGAAGCTCAGATTCACAGAGGGTGGGGGTGTGGTGGGAGTGGCCAAGCTCAAAGAACTCTGGCAAAGGCACAGGGACCACCGTATGCTTCTGACTTTATGCTTCTGATGTATTCAGTGCCTATTTCTCATGTGTCTGCCGAGTGAGCTAGTGAGCCGAACGGGTGTGGTCCTGCTCTCTTGCAGCTTCTGTGTGGGATACTTAAAAATCCCAAATTTGAAACTACCACTAGGCAATGGCTGTTACCCTACCATATGCATAAAAATGAAAAATTTAACCATACTCCATATATTGCTTGTAGGTTTTCTGTTTGCTGATTCTCTGGCTGAAACAATTTCAACGAATTTTTTGTTTCCCTCTGGCAGAAACTAGGACCCATGGCATCTGACCTTGCTTTTCTATTCTCCCTGGCAGCAGGGAAGGCAGGCCTGGGAACGGCACGTGCTGACTGACTGACTGATCTCACGGCATTTTCCACACTGGCGTGCACCACTGAGCCCACCGTTCCACGATGCCTCATTTATCTGCACTGCATGTGATATTTTCTATTGTGCTCTGATATTTTCTTTTCTTTTTTTCTTTTTTTAATGCTGATTATGAATCACGCAGTTCATTGATCAAAGGATCCATCTAGGACCATCAATGGGTCACAAGCCTCTCGTTCTTTTTTTGAAAAGATTTTATTTATTTGCCCTGGCTGCTGCGGCTCGGTGGATTAAGTGCTGGCCTGCAAGCCGAAGGTCACTGGTTTGATTCCCAGTCAAGGCACGTGCCTGAGTTGCAGGCCAGGTCCATAGGTTTCTCTCACATGTTGATGTTTCTGTCACATGTTGATGTTTCTCTCCTAGTCTTTCTCCCTTCTTTCCACTCTCTCTGAAAATAAGTGAAATCTAAAGAGAAAAAAAAAGCTTTTATTTATTTGTTTTTAGAGAGGTGGAAAGGGAGGGACAAAAAGAAGGAGAAAAATATCTGTGTGAGATAGAAACATGGGTCGGTTGCCTCTTGTACCCGCCCTAACCAGGAACTGAACCCACAACCCAGCACGTGCCCTGACTGCGTAGGGAACCAGCGACCTTTCGCTTTGTGCCCAAAGCACTGAGCCAGAGCGGTCAGGGCACAGCCCTCACTTTAAAAGCACTATCCAAAATAGTCCTAGCCCTGGGTTCTCAAACTGATATTTCATTGTCTTGCTTTGACCTTGGGCACTCTTAGCCCCCTCTGAACATGACTATAATAAAACAGAAAGTTTGACGATGACCTAGCAACTTAGGGTCTCCAGTCATGAGCACCTGTGGAGTAGGAACCCAGCTGCCGATCGTTTTCTAGGGTCGATGTTCCTCCTCCGTGTTCCCGTGGTTCCTGACTGTTGTTATCCTGTGCTGCTGAGTTACATATTCCACCTTATTGCTCCTTTACTCACCCTCCGCCCCAACTATGGGATTCTCCAAGATAGAATATGCCTTGCTGGGTCACGGGCCCTAAAGGTTGCTCAGTAAGAGTTGAATGTGAAGGAGTAAGGCACGGCTTTTACAGAGAAAGCGGGGTCTGAGCTGGATGAAAGTCTGTGCTGTGATTACCCTCCAGCTGGTAAACCAGGAAGGGGAAGGGACAGGCAACAGAATCAGTGGAAACGTGGAAGCACTACGAAATGCGGTGTGTTGAGGAAACCGCAAATGATCCAGTGTGCGCGGAAGCTAGGGTCGAACGTGGGGAAGAGTGCGTTTGGGAAGGATCAGGGCTCTGTGCGGAGGGTTCTGTGGCTGTGCTGGGACGACCGCGCCGTGCAGGTGACGGGCAGCCCTGGGAAGCGTTTGGAGAAGCAGCGTGCTGCTGACACCTGAGCACTTCTTCCAGCCAATCTGCCAAAGGGTGAGGCTGGGCAAAGGCTTCAGGGCTACAAGCAGGCTGACAGGGACCAGAGGGGAGAGGGGAAGGATTCACAGGAACAAGTATAAAGGACACATGGACAAAAACCAAGGCGGGGGGGAGGGGGGAATGGGACTGAGGTGGGAAGCACTGGGGGGTTTGGGATGGGATGGGAGTAAAAGAAAACTGTACTTGAACAATAATTAAATTTTTTAAAAAAAAAGAGGTGATGAGAGCTTCGGTGCAGACAGGATGGAGAGGGCCTGCTTGGGCCCCGCCCAGTGCCGTGGGAGGGTGAGGTGTACCTGCCTGGCTCCCAGGATACCTGACCGTTGCTGTGGGGGACAGGGTTGTTTTATAAGTGCGTCATGGTTTCGTATTCCTTCCGACTCTTAACATTCTGTGGTGTAGCTCCTGGTGATTTGCATTCCTTCTGCTGCTTTTATTTTTATTTTTAAATTTAAAATATATATTTTATTGATTATGCTGTTACAGTTGTCCCACTTTCCCCCTTCACTCCCTGCACACCCCCTCCCACCCACATTCCCTCCCTTTAGTTCATGTCCATGTCTCATATTTACAAGTTCTTTAGCTTCTACCTTTCCCATACTATTCTTTCCCTCCCCGTGTCTATTTTCTACCTACCATCTGTGCTACTTATTCTTTGTACCTTTTCCCCCCTTCTCCTCCCACTCCCCTGTTGCTAACCCCCATGTGATCTCCATTTCTGTGTTTCTGTTCCTGTTGTAGTTGTTTGCTTAGTTTGTTTTTGTTTATATTTTATTTTAAGTGTGGTTGTTAATAATTGTGAGTTTACTGTCATTTTACTGTACATTTTTTTTTATCTTTTTCTTAGATAAGGCTCTTTAACCCCCACAGATGTTTTCAATCAGTAGTTTGAGGCTTTATTTCCTTGTTTGGGGCCCTGGGTTGTGTGGTCCGTCCTGTTCCCCAGTTTCACCTGGTTTATCCGCATGGGAATGTGGGACCGCCGGTCACCAGCCGCCGCCTTGCCATGGATCTTCTCTACTCTGGCTGCCAGTCTCCGCCCCACCTACCAGTCTGGATGAATGTGTCTTTAACTCCTTGGTTGTTGGACTTCCATACAGTTCGATTTTCTGTCAGCTCTGGTTGTTTTTTGGTTTTAAATAGTTGTCCTTCTTTTGGTGGTTGGAGGAGGCACAGTGTGCCTCCCTAAGCCTCCATCTTGGCCAGAAATCTCCCTTCTGTTTTTTGATGGGAAATAGAATTGAAGTGGCATTTTTCCTAAATGGACGCTTTCCTGAAGGTGTGTTGTGTAGTAATTCTATTCTTGGGCTGCACAATAATAGGGTGCTGGCCATTAGCTGTGTTGAGTTCAACACACACACTGATTGTGTCCTTTGATCCTGTAGTGCAGAAATCAACTTTACTTTCTCCTGGATTCCCTTAGCTTCATTTTGAATGTCTCGTTTAGAGTAACTTGAGGTCCTATGTCATTGTATTTCAGTTGCGGGAGTCCCCGGACCACCTCGGGTACTGGGCGGTATGCGAACTGCTCCACCAGGTGGGGGGCGCCATCTTGCCTTCGTACCTGTGGAGCCAGGACGGTGTGAAAGCTGGGGAGTCTCCGCCTGGTGGTGAAACGCAGCTGCCGAGGGAACCCGGCCTCTCCTCGTGGATTTCCACCCTGCCGACCGATTCCACTTTAAACTGTTTGCTCTACAACTCTCCTGAGTACGGAGCCTCATTTCCACGGACAGAAGGAACGTTGTTTCTCCCTGTTGAGGGTAAGCAGATAATGATTTTTCGGGGGTTCCGGTCTCAGTTACTGTCTATCCGTTTCTTCAAGGCGGGCCCACGCTCTCAACTTCTTTAGGATTTCAGGCAGCCCAGCCCCTCAACAAGGGCTTGTGATTAGGTGTCAGCAGAATCGAGGGCGCGCGGGACAGCACGGAGCTCTGGCGCAGCACGTCCACCTGAGAACAATTTAATTGTTCTACTGCCCACCAGCCCCCGGGTAGAAAGAATAAGTGAGTGCTTTCAAAGGGCCTCTCAGCAAAGAAAGACAGTATTGTTCAAGTGCCCAAGCAGACGGGCGGTAAGATTCCCTTGCCTCATAGAAGAGACTATGAACTTAGACCACGGGGAGACCATGACTGATAAGAAATTAGTAAAAAACAAAACAAAAAAAACAAGTTGAGAGTGGCGCTTGTGACCAGGAAGAGCCAGCGTGCGGGACCCTCCTCCATGTGCTTTGTTCACTGCTTGGTGAGCTCATTTCTGAATCGCCGTGTGTTCACACGGAAATGGCATTGTATAGAAAGATGAACACTAAACCATGGTATACATTATGGGCAGGTCAAGGAAATTTTTGTTTAAGCAATTTCATCTTTAGAATGCAATCGCCTCATAAGATATGCTGTGCACTGTGTTTTGTGGATTTCAGAAGTGACATCTTCTTGTTTGTAAGTAGTGAGTCCTGCTTGCATATTTATTTCTAAGTCATGGTTACTAAGATGGCCTGACGCCAGGCCTTGCCCCTGTAATGCTGTTCACGTACAGCTTTTCCTGTTGGGCTCCATGAACTTGCTGTTGGCAACGGGGTGAGGGCTGAGTGTGAACTAAGTAGCAATAATAGTCCCTCAGCTGACTATCTAATTTTTTATTCTTCTCACTGTTAAATCTGTGATTAGTAACCATTTATTACATTATAATGCTGTTGATTACATTAGATCTTCTTCATTTCTCACAGGCAAAGAGATTCAAGAGGCATGGGCGGTCGTCCTGGAGCCCTTGGCCATGCACCAGAGACGTTTTCAGAAACCAGTCCAGATTTTCCTAAAAGGCACGGCCGCCCGGTGGTCCCCGCCGATGAGCAGCACCGTGGGCAGTGACAGCTGGATGCTCCGGAGTCCGGAGCAGCACCCATCAACCCAAAGGGCGCTATTTCAGCAGCTGGTGGACAGGCTGACTGCCGAAGAGTTACATCTGGTAGGTCTCGTCCACGCACGTGCTCAGTCGTTCTTGCCTGAGATCACACTGTAGAGGGAAACGCGAGTGTCTATCATGGGACCCCAGGCACATGGACACAGGCATGTGATGCAGTCTCAGCAGAACAGACGTGTGTAGGTGGTGTCGCCCACCCCACAGCACCACGACGGTGCTCGTCAGTGAAGAGACAGCCTGTGGACGTCCGAGTGCCTGGCGTCCCGCCAAGTGACATTAGACTCACGCAAGGTTAAGGGCTGCGGGCCAAACGCCGAGATCGTGTTAGGGTGGCAAAGTGGGGGGACAGTCGCTCCTCCTCCCCCACCCTCATTATCCGCGTTTGCACTTTCCACGGTCAAATGCAGTCTGAAATAGTAAATGGAACATTCCAGAAATAAGTTTTAAATTGCAGCTGTTCTGGGTCCTGTGATGAGCTCTTGTGCCGTCCTGCCTGGGACGTGGGCCGTCCCTTTGTCCAGCGTCTCTATGCCGCCTACACCCCTGGCCCACTAGGTTAGCAGCCGTCTCAGTGTCACAGCGCCTGCGTTCAGGTGGCCCTCGCTTTACTTAACCACGGCCGCAGGGCGCAAGGCTAGTGGAGCTCACACGTCAGAGAGGCCACAGCGAGGCCGGAGGTGCTCCCTTCAAGTGGACGGGTGCGGACGGTGCAGGACGAGGTGTTGAGAGCGATAAACCACATTCCCCGTAACTTTTGTTAGTGTATTGTTACAATTGTGCTGCTGTATTGTTGCCTGTTAATCTCTTACTGTGTCTAATTTACGAAGTAAACTGTATCACAGGCCTGCATACACAGGAAAAAACGTTGCGTGCGTGCGTGTGTGTGTGTGTGTGTGTGTGTGTAGCATGCAGTGCTGTGTAGTTTCAGGCACCCACTGCAGGGCTCGGAATGCATCTCCCACGGACAGGGGGGGACTTGATACATACCTATCACTTTTTAGTGTATGTGCTGCCGAAGCGAGCACCGTACCTATCACTTTTATGTACAAAATACATTTCATTTTTTAAAAGCCCTACACTGTAAAATTAGATATAATAGTGTCCAATAGTTACACAAACTTAGAAGTGGCTTCTAAAAAGGAATACCTACCCAGGCTTGATTTAAGGGTGATGGTTATTTTTGTTTAATCTTTACTGTATTTTTCCCCATTACCATTTAGTCCCCTTCCACTCCCCGCCCCCTAGCAATCACCACACTCTTGTCTGTGTCCACGACTCTTTTTTCCTTCTTGCTGAAAGGTGATGGCTATTTTTAAACTGCCAACAAATCCCTTGCCTTATTTTGTCTTCTGGCTTTGTGACCCCAGAAGGCTTCTCTCTCCTAGACCGCAGTGTGAGAAATTCTGGAGATGAGCTGGGCGGTCCCTGAGCAGAGGTTCTAAGGCTTCTCTGCCCTGACAGATGGAAGAGCACCGGGAGGGGTGTCGTGCGGCGGGATCGGGGTCAGGTCTCGCCTCTCTGCCCACTGTGCGAGCTGGTTAACCCCACAGCGGCCGTACTGTCTCGTGATTAAGCACGGGTTTGGGATTCATGCACACGTGGCTTCTGCCCCTGGCTAACTGGGCGACCTCGAACTGGTTACTTATTTCTCGGCCTCAGGCCTCCAATAAAATGGGGCAGGAACCGTGTTTGCCTCAGAGTGGCTGGGGGCGCGGTGAGTTACAGCGAGCGCAGAGCGCATGCTCAGTACACACTCCCCGTGGCCCCGGGCTTTCCCGGGTTTGTTCATTGAGGAGTTAGGATTACGTGATCTGTAAATTCAGTTCCAGCGTTGACACCCTTAAGCCCGTCTCTACTCTAGCTTTTTATATGAATAATCGTTGGGAGAGGCTGCTGTTTCTCTTACTGAGTGACTTTCTTTACGCATACATCAGCGACCTTCTCAACTACCTAGAACTTCTCGTGTAGGTTGCCACCGTGGACCCCGGGGACGGCGGGCCGCCCGTCACTGGAGTCATGTCCCCGCTGTCTGCCAGCGCTACAGTTCTCACCGTGTTCCGCACCGAGGAGGCTGGATTTCAAAGACACGTTCTCCAGGCAGTGGTGGCAGAGAGCCCCCAGGATGCAGCGCCCCTCTTCCCCAGTGTGGTGGACGTTGTGGTGAACCGGGCTTGCAACCTGCGGGAAGGCCCCGCCGCCTCCGGTTAGTTCTGAACCGACTACTGGCACCCGGGGCAGTGGTTCGCAGCCACTTCCAGCATCAGGATTTTTCTCACTATGCTCTTGGTAGAGCCCTGATATCTGTTATAAAACAGGTAAAAGCAAACGGTAGTGCTTCAGCCAGTGTAAGTCATGTTTCCTTATAGAAATCCCGAAGTCCTTTTGAGAAGACCAAAGGCTCTGTGAAACCAGGTTGAATCCACAGGCGTAGCACGAAACCTGGTTTTCAGCAAATTTAATGAAGGCTGCACCTACAACTTTGGGGTTCCATCTGCCTTCCAGTGCACGGCATTGTTATTTATGCTAGTAGATAAAAATAAAATGAATGTGATATTCTGCCTACTGAACAGATTTAGGGAGTGCCTGCCATGTGTCAGGCATGGTTCTAGGTGGGGAATACGTCAGTGAACAGAATAGACAAAGGTCTCTGCTGTTGTGGGGTTTGCCATCAGTCCGGGGAGATGGGACAATAAACTGCATAAGGGAGTTACACAGTGTACTTGAAAGTGGTGAGTGCTATATAATAAACAGGGAAAAGGGAATGGAGCACAGTAAAGGGGAGTTGGAGGGCTGCAATTTTATTCTATGAAGGTTTATTTCTAGATGGGAAGGGAAGGTGAAAAGGAGGGGCAGAAACATGAATTGTGGCCTCGTGCACCTCCACCTACTATCGACCCAGCCTGCACTCCAGAAATGTGCCCTGACTGGGAATCGAACCAGCAATCCCTTGGTTTTCAGGCTAGTACTTAATCCACTGAGCCACACCTGCCAGGGCCAGAAGGGGGTAGTTTTAAGCAGCCTTGTTGAAAAGGCAGTATTTGGGCCCAGGCTTCACGGAAGTGGCAGGGAGCGTGGGTTCCTGACAGAGGCCGTGGGCCAGGTGTGCGTTCGCTGTGTCTGAGATGCGGCAGCAAGCATCTGCTCAGTAGCGGGTTTTCGTAGACACACGGGCCTGCCGGAGTTGGTGCAGCTGAAGAAATGCAGTTAATGCCCCTTCATATGTCCTTGGGGAGGAGGCGGTGGGTCCCCGGCAGGGGCCAGTGCGGGACCGCCACTTTGGTTCTCACGCCTCTTTCCCCATCTCTGCTGCTCGCCCTGCAGCGCCTCCCGGTCCAGAGTGGGTCCAGCAGGAGCTCAGCCGCACCGCGCCCTGGACCCCGGCGGTCACCGAGCGCTGGTTTCCCTGCTCCAACCTGAGTGGCGCCAGTTCCAGCTTGACGGAGTCGTTTTGGTAAAGCCTGTTCTTTTCTTCTCTGGGTGTTGACAACTGAGGCCGGAGCTGGGTGTGTGTGTGTGTGTGTGTGTGTGTGTGTGTGTGTGTGTGCGCACGCGCGCGCGCATGCACACTTTAACAGACCACATTTCATGAATGTAGTTCAATAATATGAAAAATGAATTACGTAACTGTGTGGTGCCAGGTTACTGGACTTATGACTCCAGAAACTATATAAGTGTCCACCCACCATGCCGCACCCCTGAGATACACATAAAATAATACTGAATGTCAACTATAATTTACAAAATCTGAAAAAGCAAATTTAAAACCCGTAGGATCGTGTTAGAAACCACTTCTACTGATTAAATGATTTTCAAAGTTAAACAAGTAAATTAAAACTACAAAAGGAGAGTGTTGTTCAGTGGTGTATATCCTGGTTTTATGAGACAAGGGGAGTTCTGGAGAGGACCATCACGAGCGATGGCCACGCAGCGTTGTGAATGCACGTAAATACATTTACGTTCTGTGTATTTCACCAGGTAACAGAACTTGGAAACAATTACAAAAATAAAATGTTCTCCCATGTCATGGTTGTGAGAAAATATTTAGTATTACATCTCTAAAAGTGGGAAATTGCACACTCGTATAATGCAGCTAAATTTATACTTGAAAGAAAATTTATAGACTTACTGTCTTTTAAAGAAGGAAAGTTAAAAATGAATTAGCTAAGTGTCCAACACAGAAAATGATACAAGAGAGGAAACCCAATAACAAAGAAGGAAGGCAGTAGTAAAGACAGAATAACAACGAATCAAACAGGAAACAAACAACAGAACCCACGGAAACCAGAGAGGACTGAGAAGCCACATGGTGTTACCTAGCTGGAGGGCAAAAGCACATTGGGCGATCAGAAATGAGCAGTGTGAGCAGTGCACCATGTGGCGGAAATGCAGGGTGCTCAGGCAGTTAAAGACGTTCTCTCTCTCTCTCTCTCTCTCTCTCTCTCATTCTCATTGTCTTGCTGTGGCGCCTTTGTGGGGATCAGGTGACCGTCACCACGCAGGCCTGCCTCTGGGCCTGGTCTGGCCCAGAAGTTCCCAGAACACCCCTTTGTCTTTTTTTTCTTTAAAGAGTTTATTTATTTATCTTTAGAGGGGAAAGGAAAGGAGAGAAGGAGAGAAATATCAATGTATGGTTGCCTCTCCTACGTCCCCTGCTGGGAACTGGCCTGCAACCCAGACATGTGCCCTGACTGGGAATCAAACCTCAGTTGTTTGGTTCACAGGCCCGCGCTCAATCCACCGAGCTACTCCAGCCAGGGCGCCCTTTGTCTTCATGGGTCCTGGCGTCAGGTGCTCTACGTCCTCGCAGCTTCACCACCCCCACCCCAGAATTTGTTTGGCTGTCCTAGATTTTTTTGCATTTCGATGTAAGTTTTAGATTCAACCTGTTAATTTCCACCAAGCAGGCTGCTAGGGTTTTCGATGGCCTGCATGGAGTCTGTAGGTCACTTTGGGAAGAGCTGACATCTTGGTCATGATGAGCCCTCTGATTCGTGGACTGGGCACAGCGTGAAGGGGCTCAGAACAAAACAGGTGCGCTCTCGCCAAGAGAGGAAAGCTTCCCACAAGCTCCGGTGTGAAGGTGCGGCTGGGTGGAAGGGTCTTCAGGTAGGCCCGTGGGACGGGATGGGGGCCAGGAGTGCAGTGGTCCCGTAATCAGACACGCCCCCTAGGACTTGCAGGTCTGATTAATGAAAGTCAATGCTGTGCGTAACGATGAATGGTTCCGTGAACAGGTACCTGAGAAAATACATTTTTTTATTTTAATTTTTTTATTGATTATGCTGTTACAGTTGTTCTATTCCCCCCCTTCATTCCCCTCCACCCTACCCCCCCATCCCCACCGTTACCCCCCCTTTAGTTTATGACCATGTGTCTCAAGTCCTTTAGATTCTATATTTCCCATGCTATTCTTGCCCCCCCATCTATTTTCCATCTACTGTCTATGCTACTTATTTTCTGTACCTTCTCCCCCCTTCTCCTACTCCCACTCCCCTGTTGCTAACCCTCCTTGAGATCTTCATTTCTATGGTTCCACTCCTGATCTAGCTGTCCTTTTAGTTTGCTTTCGTTTTAGGTGTGGTTGTTAATAACTGAGTTTGTTGTCCTTTCACTGTTCATGTTTTTTAAACTTCTTTTTCTTAGGTAAGTCCCTTTAACATTTCATATAATAAGGGCTTGGTGATGATGAACTCCTTGAATTTGATCTTATCTGAGAAGCACCTTATCTGTCCTTCCATTCTAAATGAAAGTTTTGCTGGATAGAGCAATCTTGGTTGTAGGTCTTTGGATTTCATGACTTAGAATACCTCTTTGCAGCCCCTTCTTGCCTGTAAGGTCTCTTTTGAGAAATCTGCTGACAGTCTGATGGGGACTCCTTTGTAGGTGACTGTCCCCTTAGCTCTTGCTGCTTCTAGGATTCTCTCCTTCATTTTAATTTTGGCTAATGTAATGATGATGTGCCTTGGTGTGTTCCTTCTTGGGTCCAACTTCTTTGGGACTCTCTGAGCTTCCTGGATTTCCTGGAAGTCTATTTCCTTTGCCAGATTGGGGAAATTCTCCTTTATTATTTGTTCAAATAAGTTTTCCACTGGTGGCTGTTCCTTTCCCCCTTCTGGTACCCCTATAATTTGGATGTTGGAGCGTTTAAAGATGTCCTGGAGGTTCCTAAGACTCTCCTCATTTTTTTGAATTCTTGCTTCCTGACTCTTTTCTGGTTGGCCATTATTTGCTTTCTTCTGGTCCACTCCATTGATTTGAGTCCCCGTTTCCTTTTCATTGCTATTGGTGCCCTGTGCAATTCCATTCATTTCAATTAGTTTCGCCTTCATATATTTGTCTAATTTGTCGGTATAATCAACCAGTTCTGTGAGGATCCTGATGACCAGTGTTTTAAACTGTGCGTCTGAGAGTTTTGCTATTTCTTCATCGCTTAGATCTATGGGCTGTGGGGCTTTGAGATCTTGTGACATTTTTGGTCTGTTCTGGCCCTTTAAGTGTGAGAAGCGGTGCCTTGGACTCCCAGGTCGCTGGGTTGTGACGCTGTATGTGGGGGCGTGGTCAGAGCGGCAAAATGGCGGCCCCGGCCCCGTCTGCTGTTTCTCACAGCTGGGTGAGGATTAGCGTCTTAGGTGGTTCACCTGGGCCGGGCCACTCAGAGTCGCTGGGTTATGACACTGTATGTGGAGGTGGGGTCAGAGCGGGGAAATGGCGGCGCCCTCCACTGCCACTTGCCGCGGGGACCCACCGGGCCCTGGTCCAACCGCTCACTCCCTCGCCTGTCCGCCCGCGCACAAATGCGCGACCACAGTCAACACACAGCACCGCTCCCCCGCTGTCTCCCCCGCGGTCGCTCGCCTAGTGGCTCGCTGGGTCGCTCACTAGGTCCAACCCTGCGCCTGGATTCTGCGCGTCTGGATTCCACACCTGAGTCCGTCTTACCGAGTCCTCCTGTGCAACCCCTCACCAGCCGCTGGTTTCGCCCCTTACCGGTCAGGCTGAAGAATTTGTTGTTAACGGACTTCCGAAAAGTTCAATTTTCCGTGTTCTGGCTGTGTTTTCTGTTGCTAATATTTAGTTGTCTCTAAACTTGGTTGTGTGAGAAGGCACGGCACATCCACCTATGCCTCCATCTTGGCGGAAGTCCTAGAAAATACATTTTTGAAGGCATCTTGTGGGGACACATTTTGATTAGCTTATCAGAAGTCACTGTCGTTTGCTCTGTAAGGCATCTAGGGAGATCAGACTCCAGCTTTTTACTCGACACCTTGTGTTCACAGCTTACTGCAGGCCGCGCCGTCTAGCAAGGAGGAGCCCTCCCAGACGGAGAGTGAGCTCACACGGCGCCTGTCGGAGCTCTACCTGCGGAAGGCTCGCGAGGAGTCGGCGGCGCCGGGCCGGGAGGACCGCAGGAGGAAACGTACGCATGAGGAGGGGGGTTCTGCGTGGTCTTCCGTGACACTGTATGTTTAGAAGGCCGCCATTCCCTAAAATGAGGTTGAAATGGTAACCGAATAAACGGGGACAAGTTCCTCTATTTCAAATTAGAAAATAATTACATTCGTAAAATAGCGATTTAAAAATCAGCCACAATTCTACCTTCTTAATGAATAAGTCATTTTTACTTTTATTTATATTTTATTTAAAGACTTTATTGACTTATAGAGAGAGGGGCAGAGAGGGAGAGAAACATCCATCAGCTGCCTCACGCGCACCCCCAACCAGGGACCTTGTCTGCAACCCAGACATGTGCTCTGACTGGGAATCGAACAGGCGACCTTTTGCTTTGTGAGATGATGCCTAATCCACCGAGCCACACTGGTCAAGACAAACAATATTCATTTTTAGTTTTAGCAGAACTTTAACTACAACTATGTGTGCCACTTACTGATTTCATCTGCTACCTTGCCTTTTCAGTTACTATTCCACCTCATTGCTTAACAAAACTGACAGAATCCTATGTTGTTGAACATCCAGGTTGTTATTTTTCTCATTATAAATAATACTGGTGTGTACATCATGACATGATTTGTTCTTTAGCCTAAGCTTCCAAGAAAAGTTATTGCATCATGAAGTGGGAAAAGTAGCTCTTGGTGCAGAATTAAAGTAGTGTTTTGGTGGGGCAGATTTTTTATTTTTTGTAACAAGCAGTGCTTGGTTCTGCCGGGGATAGAAACCATTTTCCATTTCTTCCCACCATACACTGGCAGGGGGTGGCCCTCGCACCCCAGTGAGGCAGAAGATGAAGACCATGTGCCGTTCCCTAAAGATGCTGAATGTGGCCAGGCTGAATGTCAAGGCTCAGAAGTTGCATCCGGACGCCAGTCCAGAAGCCGCTGGGGAGAAGGGGTCCCAGAAGACAGCCGGCGGGAGAGTGGCGGCTAAACCAGAGAGCAGGGCAAGAGCACGGAGCTCCAGAGTGAAAGGTGCTGCTCGCTGCCACGGCACTCGGTGTCCCGGTCCCTATGTGCTCCCCCACACCCCTGTGCTTAGATGTTCCCATCACTTCCCCAGCCAGCGAACAGTTAGTCTGTTCCGGGCCCACACGTGTGCTGTGGGGAACACAGTAACAGGATAATGCCCTTAGATTTATGGCCCAGCCACAAAGAACAGTAGTGAGCAGGTGTATATTGACAGATATATATGGATGTGTATGTGTGTGTATATATATATATATATATATATATATATATAATACACACACACATGTTTATAATATAATGAACTGATGCAGCTAATCCATAAGAGCTAAGATCCGTTACAGAAAATACTTGCTCATTTGGTTAGTAAAGACATAATAGGAGGCGAGAAAGGGAAGGTCAGTCTTGGCCGAACACGCTCAGGAGGCTTCCAAGGGGCCAGTGAAGGAGCACAGTGGCGGTGTGTGTGTGTGGGGGGGAGCCTGGCAGAGTGGCAGAGGAGGGCTGTGGCTGGGCCGCAGGGCGAGCGGTTAAAGCCGTTCTCTGCGTTTGTGTGGAAAGGGAGGGAGACAGGGGTGAGGAAGCGGGCGAGGTCCTGGGGGCCTTTCAGCGTGTGGTGTGGCATCGGGTGGCGTGGTGCCACCAGCCTTGTTCTTTCTCAAGACTCTCTGGCTATTGGGGGTCTTTTGCAGTCCCATATAAGTTTTAGGACTATTTGTTATAGTTTTGTGGGAAATGCTGTTGGTATTTTGCTAGGGATTACCTTGATTCTGTCGACTGCATTGGTTAGTACCGACAGTTCAATGATGCTATTCTTTCAGTCCCTGAGCAAAGTATATGCTTCCATTTATTTGTATGTCTCCAGTGTCTTTGTCACTGTCTTATAATTTTCGGAGGGCAGGTCTTTTACCTCCTTAGTTAAATTTATTCCTAGGTATTATGTTATGATGCAATTGTAAGGGAAATTGTTTTCTTAATTTCTATGTCTAATAGCATTATTGGTGTATAAAAATGCAACCACTTTCTGAATATTAATTTTGTATCCTGCTACTTCACTGCATTTATCAGCTCTAATAGTTTCTTGCTGGACTTTTTAGGGTTCTTTCTACATAGTATTAGGTCATCTGCAACTAGTGAGAGTTTCTACTTTTCCAGTTTGTTGTGTTTTATTTCTTGTCTGAACACTGTGGCCAGGACTTTTCGTACAGTGTTGAACGGAAGTGGTGACGTGGACATGTGTGTCTCGTTCCTGGTCTTAAAGAAACAACGTTCAGCTTCTCACAGTCGAGCGTGGTGGTAGCTGTGGTTGGTGCAGATGGGCTTGGTTATATTGGTGTGTTCCCTCTGTTCCCACTTTGTTGAGGGTTTTTGTTGTTGTTAGGTTAGGTTTTTTCCCCTCCATAAATTGGAGCTGGATTTTGTCCAATGTTTTTTACCAACCTTGCGTCCCACGAACAAATCCCACTCGATCATGGAGTGTGACCCATTTAATGTATTGCAGAATTGGACTTCCTAGTATTTTGTTGAAGATTTTTACGTCTGTTTTCATCAGGGATATTGACCTATAATTTTCTCTTTTTTTATAGTGCTTTTGTCTAGTTTTGGAATCAGAATAATGCTGGCCTCATAAAGTGAGTTTGAGAGCCTTCCCTCGTCTCCAATTTTGGGGAATAGTTTAGGAGGGACAGGTGTTAATTCTTCTTTGAATTTGGTGAGATTTGCCTGTGAAGCACCTGGTCCGTGGCTTGTCTGTTGGGAGTTTTGGTTATTGATTCCATGTCGTTAGTAGTTACCAGCCTGCTCCATCAGCTTTCAGCAATTGTGTGTTTCTAGGAATGTCCCATTTCTTCCAGCTTGTCCAGTTTGTTGGCATGTAAGTGTTTGTAGCATTTCCTTATAACCCTTTGTACTTCTGTGGTGTCACTTGTCACTTCTCTTGTATTTCTGGTTTTATTTATTTGGAACTCCTCTTTTTTTCTCGATGAGTCCAGCTAAAGCCTTATCGTTCTTGTTTCTCTACTCAAAGAACGAGCGCTTGGTTTTATTGATCTTTTGTGTCTTTTTTAGGATTCTATTTTGTTTTTTTCTGCTCTGGTCTTCATCATTTATTATCAGCAGAGTGAGTGAATTTGTGAGCAGGTGGTTTCTGCTCCTGCCCTTTAAGGGAACACCTTGGTCTACAGCAGCGCTTTGTCTTTCTCAACGCAATCTGCTGATTTTCACAGCCAGACACTGTGTGGGCTTTTCTCCCCGGCACTGATGCCCCTGGCTCGGCTGGGACCCTCGCTCCTCACGGGGACTCTGCAGCCGAGAGAGACCCCTCGGTGCGGGACCCGCCTGTCCACGCGTCCACCCCTCCCGTCGGTGTCAGCATGTCTGCCTGTACCCTTCGTTGCAGGACTCCGGTTCCGCTAGTCTTCAGGGGGTTCCCAGTGTGTTCTGTAATATAGTTGTGATGTTGGTGTGGTCGTGGGACGAGGCAAGCCTGGCCTTTACCCACTCTGCCATCTTGACCGGAAGTCCTTGATTTCACCCTACCCGCCACCACAGATTTTAAAACTGAAGAGGAGCTGCAGTCTTACCTGCATGAAAATTACCAAAAGACTGTGGCTACAGGAGGAGCCATGTTGCATTCGTGTGCTCAGAACATGATCTCAACTGTGAAGGCTTTCCTGAAGGCCAGAGGCAGCCGGGACTTAGAGGTGAGGAGCCCGACAACAGGTGCCAAAGATGTAGTCGTTGCCTTGTGCTGGGCGTGGTCCGTGCGTTCACCGTGCGGCACCCGGTTCAGTGAGGACAGAAGGGGGTGGAATTCCAGGTCTTCGAAGTGGACCTGGCGAACTTGTAAGGCAGAAATCGAGGAGACGTGTTAGGTCGGGTAATCACACACTTTCCCGCTCCTGAAAGTTCTGTCCTCTGAGCTGCACGAATAAGCCGGTGAGCACACTTCACGGTCACCTAGGACGTCTGTTTACTAGCTGATGTCCGCCGTCCTCCAGATGCACGGGAACAGGTCCCTGGGTGTTGGGACCCAGGCGTTCGTACTGTTGACCAGCTGCTCACCTGAGCCTCAGGCACAGGGAGTGTTGCGGAGCCCTGCGCGGTCCACGCTGTCGCTCTGTCCGTGGCGAGGGGGGCCCAGCTCCTCCTGAGCGAGCGGAGTCGTTTGCGTACTCAGGCGGGTCCGTCAGTGCTGCATGGAGTCTTCCCTCCCTGCAACAGAGTTCGGGTCCCAGGCCCACTCTGTCCATGCCCGAGTGTTTCCTTTGGTTTTAACCATGTTCGTCTGAAAGATTGAAAAGAATATTCATTTCACTATTTTTCATTCAAATGAAAGAAGGGGGGAAGGGAAGACACTGCCCTGCCCGGGGCCTCCGTCGGCCGTGGGGAGAGTGGAAGTAATGACGAGGAACATGACATGCTTCTGTGTCACGCTTCTGTGTTTTCAGATGGACTGCCGGGACCGGGTGAAAAGCACCCTCTTAAAAGCCAGCAAAAGTCTCAGACAGAATATAGGGAAGAGCCTGGGTAAAGAAGACAGAGTCAGAGAGTAAGTAGCTTTTCCTTTTTTTAAACCATTACTCCAAAACAAAACTCTACAGTGCACTTGTGTCCATTTGGAATAGATGGCAGGGTGCTTGATGGGTTTTGTCGCAGGTTCTTCACGAACCAACGTGCAGTTCGTCCTCAGTGTACCCATAACCTTGTCCTTACTGAGGAGACGCAATGGTTCTTTTTGTTGCTGTTGTTTTTTTTTACGTAGATGTACGATTCAGGAAGGGGCCTTCAGCCGAGTGGCATTCCGAGCTGTGGCCCATCCGTCTGTCTGTCTGTCTTTCCAGGTGCCAGCTTCAGGTGCTCCTGCGTCTGGAGCTGTGTCGCCAGTGCCCGTCGGTGCCCGACCGCGTGGACGCCGTGGAGCAGGTGGTGGACGAGGCAAGTGCGTCGCCTGGTGCTGCGGGCCGGTGCCGTGCTGCTCCCTGCAGAGATGCACGTGGTCATTTTCTCACCTCTCCCTCAGGTGACAGACTTGCTGCGCACGGTGTGTTTAACTGAGGATTCGGCGTACCTGGCCAAGTTTCTGGAAGAAATTCTGAGCTTGTAAGTTGGATGACCACCGCCTTAACTTCGAAGCTGTTTTCCCAGGAACTTCCTGTGGTAGCGCTGCACAGTCGGGGGACCGTGAGGCCCACTCCCCACGCTGGGCGAGGACAGGGACGGCGACAGGGCCGTGGTGGCGGACCGTCCCCTTAGAACCGACCTCCCCGCAGGTACGCCGCCTGCATCCCCGAGACGCTCGGCAGACTCTGCGACAGCCTGGGCTTCGTCGTCCCTCAGAAGCTGGCCGACGTCCTTCCGACAGGCTTCCTCAGCGACGACTCCACGACGCAGGACAGCCAGTCGCCGCTTCTTTCTGTGCCTCTTCCGTCAGGTGCTCCCAGGTCAGCGTCGGGCGGCAACGAATCCCACCAGCTGGAGGAGCTTCGCACGCGGTCGGCGAAGAAGAGGAGGTAGGAGCTCGAGGAACGGCAGGGGCCGTGCCAGTGCGGACGAGGGTGCGTGGGCGCCGCCGCCCAGCTGTCTCTGTTCGTGGCTGTTGACTTCCCGGCTGCCCTCCCGTCTGAGTCGCAGACGCCCGTCCTCGGGGTTTCTACTGCACGTCCCCTGAGGTTACCAAAGGTGTCAGCAGCCTGTGACACTGCCACCAGGGCACACACGGTGTCTTTGTCACGTAGGCCACAGTGCCCCTCTTGACCATCACAGGCTCTCTAGGGACTAGGAGCCTTCCGCAAGACAAGCTCTGGGTTTCAGCTTGCTTTTTTTTCCCTCCAATTTTATTTATTTACTTTTAGAGAGAGAGAGAAGCAGGGAGGGAGAAAGGGAGAGAAACATCAGTGTGTGGTCGACTCTCATGTGGCCCCCACTGGGGGTCCTGGCCTGCAACCCAGGCATTTGCCCTGACTGGGAATTGAACTGGCGACCATTTGGTTCAAAGGCTGGTGCTCAATCCACTGAGCCATACCAGCCAGGGCTCAGCTTGCTTTTTAGGCTTTTCCTGATGCTTTTCATTGCTCACGACCAGCAGAGTTTATAGTAGTTACTTTTGGAAAGTCTGAGGTTGACGTGTTTTGCTATGAATCTAGGCCAACACCAAGATCACTGACCTTTATTTCAATCATGTTTTATTTCACACTGTAGTTCCAGTTCAGCTTGTAACCTCTGCGAAGGGCATACTGACTGTTTCTCTCTGTTTAAAAGGAAAAATGCATTACGAAGACATAAAAGCGTGGCGGAGGTCTCACAGAATCGTCGTCAAATTGAAATTCCCAAAATGTCCAAGAGAGCCGCCAAAAACGTAAGTGGTTTCCAGGAGACAGGAAGCGGCGAGAGCAGTCCTTCCTTCCGGCGTGAGTCCCACAGGAGATGGGACGGAGCGGCAGTGTCTCGGTGCTTAGGCAGCCGGCCCTGGGGCGCACAGGAGTGGGGGGGGGCGGTGTCTGTGCGCACATGCGCACGTGCGCACAGCTGTGATCCGGGGACTACGGAAGGAGGCGTGTATTCACGATGAACCCTTTACCCAAAAGTGTGGCAGTCACAGGTAATTCAAGTGTAAAAAAGCCAGCCAAAGTTAGGAGTGAGGAAGTTCACCTGAAATCTTTAATGTAGGTAAGAATACTCATAAAACAATAACGCGCGTGCGCAGAGGCCATTGGAAAGTAGTGTGCGGTCGCAGCAGGGCTTCGGCCGCCTGCCAGAAAGTGCTTCTCAGTGCGTCGTGTGTTTCATTTCAGTGACCAGTGCAACAGATTTGCGGGGGGGGGTTGTGGGTGCTGTCATGAAGCCAGGAGGTAACTGGCTTTTGTGACAGATGTGAGGGCTTTTTGTTGGTAGCAGAAGAAAAGAAACCCAGGTGGCGTCTGTGGACCAGGTAGAATTGATGTGCTGCTAAGGAGGGAGGGAGGGGGGATGACAAGTGTGTTGAAACTTTTGAACCACATGAATTACTGAGAGAGTTCCATTCTGTGAGAACCAGCTTCCGAAGCCCCGATCATCACCATGGTGGTTTGTGGTCTGTTCCTCGAGCTGCCCTTTGGAATCGGAGCTGGGATTGCTTTTACAGCCGGTGGTCTGCACCTTCTTAGTAGGGCTTAGCCAGTGTAGGTGAATGAGCCGCAGATCTGACAGTGATGTGCAGTAATAGTTAGTGCTGTGAAGACTACTTCTCATACAGATGAAACTTTCATTTGAGGTTGGCCAAGAAAGTTACTTGTGGGTTTTTTTTTAAAGCATGCTTCTTTAGAACTAGATAACTTGAGATCAGGACTCGATTTTGGTTATTAAAGTGTCGGTTTGTTAGGTTTCTCCGCCTGCACGGCAATTCATTCTTCAGTTATTCTAGTGGTGTCATTTTAAAAAATCAAAAAATCTGCAAAAACAATTCCATTGTTGATATACACCTGGATTGTAGGCTCTTGAGTGCTCTGCTGTAGTAGCCAACAAGTGGCAATTTAGTTCAGAGAAGTTCCTAACAGTGTAGCCATCCTGCAATTAGTTTATGTGGGTTTTCAGTTGTACATAAGCTATACATACATAAAATATTAGTACAGAGTCGAAATGATACAAAGTTAAAGGTTAGGGTGTCCGTTCTCCATGAGTGTCCAGAAGTGACCACTGGTGACAGAGGTGTGTGTTCCCGGGCCCCGTCCTGCACGCACACACCAGCAGTGCACACGCATGTACATCACGAGTGGTGTACCTGCTGTACCTCATCTGCATGTTTACTTTTCCCATTAGGGACCCGTCCCTGGGTGAGTGTGTTCACGGGCCTCCGTCCACTCCTCTGAGAGACCTTCCTAACTTCCTTAATGCCTGCGTTGGAGGGAGGAGCCACAGCTCATTTCCCTCTGTGGATGGCACGTAGGCTGTTGCCTGTGTTGCGTTATTGCGCCGTGGCCTTTGGTGTCCTTGGAACAAATATCTATTTTTGTGCCTTTTGCAACTTCCTGTATGGGCCAAAGGGTTTCTTGGGGAAATTTACTCTTTGACGTTAAATGCACGCCTGCTTTCTTACTGGGCTTTCTTGTCTCAGGAGAACTCTCGCCCCAGTCTGCAGCAGCCCTCACTCCCTCCGAAGGACACGGTACAAGGTAGGCGCTTTGTTACCCCGGGGCACCTGAGTGCGGACTAGAGCGGCCCCTTTGTTTTGACTGCGTGAGCTGCAGCGGCTGCACTGTCTTGTGCTGGTTTGGGTTGACGAAAGGAGTCCCGGGAACACGAGCGAGCAGGACAGGGTGTTCCCGTGTCGCGGCACACTGCGCGCTGCAAAATAACTCACCTGAGATCTTTTTTAAAAACCGCCCTTATTGTGAAGATCAAAAGAATAAAAGACAGTGGAACTGGTTCAATGAGGGGCATTGAAGAGCGACAGCTAAATGCACCCCATGGCCCCTGCTTGAATCTCACATGTAGAAGGAAGAAAAGCTACACAGGATACTGAGAGCGCGAGAAAACTGCACACGGGCGGCAGGCTAGGTCACGTGCCCTTGCTCTTAGGACGCCCGTGTGGGGCCCTCCTTCCTTCGGTTTCTCGTCCATGACGGGCTCGTAGAGGCATTTACCAAGGAGAATTTTTGAGTGGCCTTCACTAGGCCAGCTTGAGACGAAGGTGCCGTTTTGCTAACTTTACCAAGGAGTTCCTGACTCATCTGCCTTGTTCCCCAACTGTGAGTCTAAATGGTCACGGCTGTCACGTTCTTAGGTCAGGAAGACAATTTAAAATGGCCCAGAAAATTAGTAAAACACTCATAAAAAGAAAGGAGCCTTTGAACCTGAGCAGTTTCCCACCACTTAGGCAGAGGTGAGTACAAAGCAGCAGGGAGGTCCGAGGTGACAGAAACCAGCACAACACTGGGGCCCGCTGAAAAGACCGTGACTCATGTCAGCCTTCCGTATGGGTCACGTCCAGTGTGCAGCGAGCGCAGCTCCTGGGGCAGGTGCTGGGTCCTGCCACGCATCTGAGAGGCGGGTTTTACGCCGAGTCTGTAAGCGTGGCTGACGTCAGTGCACCACGTGGGCACGGTGTGTAAGGAGGTGCTGTGGGTGCAGTCGTCAGCTTGTGGGGCGGTTTCCCTCAGCAGCTTCTCTGTTCTGGGTAACTTTTCCCAGACAGGGCATTTGTTAATGATAATATTTGGCCTTTTGGGGTTTCTTTTTTTCATGCTTTCAGAAGTGACCAAAGTTCGAAGAAATCTCTTCAACCAGGAATTTTCCCCGTCAAAGAGACCGGCAAAGCACGGGCTGCCCCGCAGCCACTCCGTGTCCGTAGTGGAAGGCCTGGCACGGGAGCTTGACCAGGCCGAGAGGGCCACAGGTGTGTGTGTGTGCGCCACCAAGGGAGCGGGCGTCCCCGGCCCAAACCAGCTGCGAGACTCGCGTCATCGCAGAAGCTCACTGGTCTCTGCGGGTTCCCTCTTCTCTGTGGTCCGGCCGGTCAGCGTCCCCTGGGCGTCTCTCAGGCCGTGGATGAAAACACAACCCTGGTCTCCTCTCCGCCCTTCCCAGGCACCCTGCAGACACGCGTCTGTGTTATAGAACCGGTCACAAGCAAAGGACGGTCACTCGGCAGTTTTCTAGTCTCTTTTTTAATATTTCAGGTTGTTTTGTTTTGTTTGGCTTCTTAAATAATTGAGATATAATTCATGTACTATGAAATGAACCCTTTCAAAGTATGAGGTTCAGTGCTTTCCAGCATATCCACAAAGGTGGCAACTCTCAGAGTTGTCTCCCTCCAGAACAGTTTCGTCACTGGAGGCAACCACCAGCCTACTTCCTGTTTCTGGGCGTTGGCCCGTCCTGCGCGTGTCTCTTCTCAGTGGGGTCGTGGAACACGCGGCCCGTGTAAGCAGCTGCCCTCGCTCAGTGCACTGTCTTCCGTGTTCGTGTGCGTCACACTGTGCCGGGTCTCAGCACTTCGTTTCTTTTTATTGCCAGCAAACGTCGTGTGGCCACATTAGATGTCGTTTATCCACGCATCACTTGGTGGGCATCCGTGTTGTCTCCACTGTTTGTCTGTTGTGAAAAGTGCTGCTGTAGACATTCATGGAAGAGAGTTTGTGCAGACACGTTTTTAATTCTCATGCACATGGCCAAAGCGGAGCTGCTGGGATGTAGGGTGGCCCACGCTCGCCCCTGGCTTCGCTGCTGTTTCTGGAGAAGTGATGGGTGTGCCGCTCACTTTTCAGGTCACCGCAGACTGCTGACGAGGACCGTGGCTGAGACTCCGGAGCACAAGCAGGTGTCCAGGAGGCTGCTGCACAGACAGGTCAAGGGCAGGTGGGTGACGTCCTCGGAGGAGCTTCTCCGACCTCCTCACCATCTTCGTGACGCCAATCTTAACTGTGTTTCCTAGAACCGAGGCGTATTCTGTCAACTCCCTGAGGGCCTGCAGGAGGCACTCTGTCCTGGCCTCGTTCACCTGGCATAATTGTCTTGAGGTTTATCCACATTGCTGCCTGTATCAGTAGCTCATCCCTTTGTGTTACTGAGTAATATACTGCTGAATGGATATTGTACAATTTTCAACTCTACTCACCTGCCGACATGGGGAAGGAAGGAGCCCTCGTTACGGCCAGGCAAGCAAGGCTAGAGGCTCTGGCCTCGCCTTCCGTGCTGGCCAGGGCCGGTTTCCCATAGCGATTGCTTGGGCCAGGGCAGCGCAGGCCCAGTCTTAGAAGCTTCTGTCCTGCTTGACCGCTCCTCTCCTGGTTCTCTGACAAAAGAGCTGGCCTTCCCGAGGACAGTTTTGGTCTGCGCTCCTTAGTGTGTTCCAGCTGTCAGCCTCTCCAGCACCCAAACTGGGGCCTGTGAAGCAAAAAGGAAATTCTTAGGGTCCCCCAGCTGGTCCCCAGTCCTGGCCCAGTTGCCTCTTCTCCCTCCCTTTGGGCCTCACTCACTGACCGGGGTGACTAGCTGTGCCTTAGAGGAAGACTGGGGAGAGGCACATGCACTTTGGCTTGTCACGGCTCCATCTTGTCATTACTGGTTTACGGGTTTCACGCGCTCAGGCCTGCTGGTCTATAATATAAGTTAGTTACAAGTAAAAACCGCCCCAACTCTGCACAGTGGAGTCTGAGAGCGCAGCACCGGCCTTACCAGACTCTGTGTCTCTGACCTTGTGGGCTGAGAGGCTGTGTCTCTAACATGGTAATTGTAAACTAGTTCTCAGTGATCGTGAATAATCCTCGTGTTGTTTATTCCTGAAGATCCTCTGATCCCGGTCCTGACGTTGGTGTCGTGGAGGAGTCCCCGGAAAGAGGTAGCGTGCAGGGTTTGGGGTTTGCTTTATCCACACACTGCTGGTCAGTGTGTCCAAAGGCGCCTCCCGGACACAACTCCGGCCCACAGTGCGCGTCAGCCACGCTGACCCGCGAACGGTCTCGTCACGAAGTGTGTATGACGGGCTTCCAAAATCTAACTTCTCTGTTCAATCAAGAAATTTATGTGTATTATAGAGAAATGAAGTATAGAGACGCCAAAATTTTAACAATCACTTGGTAATCCCATAACTCAGAACATTTACTGTTAATAAGATTTTGCTTTAGCAGTGTTCTTACAGGTAACATTCTACACAAATATGTTGTAATATACACATGAAAGCTACAGTTCTTAAAATTTTTTTTTACTTTTTTGGCAAAAGCCACCATGTCTCACACACATCCCCCCCAACACCATGCTGCATGGTGACGGTTCTCAGCACTGCCTGCAGGTGGCGGTCTCCTGGGTCAGTGGGGCTTTCACACCTTGTTGGGGCCACCCGTCAGCCCCTCTCATCCTTGTTACAAAAATTAATGAGTTTGATTTATATCTTGTGTTTGATATAACGTAGGTTTTACTCCTTTCGTACATGGGAGGTGGCAGGCTTGCACTTCCCCCTGATTACTAAGTGTGACTCCGGTTTTGTAGAAATAAGTCTGAGAAGAAGCCCTCGCATCAAGCAGCTGTCACTCAGCAGGACAAGTTCTGGTTCCTTTTACTCCGTGTCTCCGCCGAAGTCTCGAAGTGTGCAAAGAACTCACTCGCTTCAGCAGAACAAGCCAGGTAACGCACTTAGCAACCTGTGTTCCGCAATTCACGCTAACTGCATCGGGAGTGTTTCTGGGACAAGAAGTTTGAAATCTGACTTTTCGTTTCTTCACATGGGAGCTGTAGACCACGCATCCATGTTTGAGGTTCAGGGTGATGACCAGCTGAACGGTCCGGGGTCTTAATGATCAGGACCATCCCTCTGGATTCTGACAGCAGGTCATCCACACTGTTGTGATCGTACATTCATGGAAGAGGAATTTACCTGTCATTTCCAGCCTGTGTTCAGACCCTACACACGGAGCCACAGGTGGAAGGTGATGTCTGTGTGGCCTTCACCCAGTGCCATTAGCTTGTCCCATCAGCAGTGCGTTTTGATGCTACAGATTGTTTGTTTTAGTTGCCTACATCTCCTGACATAGAGGATGGAGTTGGCTGCAGCCACTGAAATTCAGGAAGGCAGCAGCTGCCATAGCCGGACATCACGTAGCAGGAATTGCCCTGCTGGTCCCTCCCCACGAGTATGGACCCGCTGTTGTTTGTATGCATGTTGAGAGGACAGAAGTGGAGATAGATTCAAATATTGTCCATGTTTTTGACTTGCAGACCAAAGAGAACATTCTACTACCCCAAGTGTTCGGTCTCCAAAGAAGCTTCTTTTTGGGGCAGTGTCTCCAATGCTCAGCCCCTCAGAGAAGGGCTCCGCTCGAACTCAAAGGCCTTGGGGAAAGAAGCTGGCTGCTGAGCTGCCTGCAGACCCTCAGGTAGGGCGTTTCCACGGCGCTTCGGCGGCGGTTCTGGAGAAGGAGGCCCTGTCAGCCTCACGCTCCAGTCCAGTCTAGAGTAGCGATGCCTAGAGGTTAGAGAAAGAAGACGGAGAGACGGAGATCAGGGAGAAGAGACTTCAGAGGGAGAGGAGACATGAGAGACCCGGGTAGAGAGACATTTGAAAAAGAAGGGAAGGAGGCAGGGGTCACAGACGGGTCTGTGATCTCAATTTGAGATTGGAGAGAGAGAGAGCGAGCAAGTAGAGACTGCAGACATCGTGGAGCCGTGTGGGAGGCTGGGCCGATGTGACGGAAGAGATGGGGGGGCTGGGGTGATCTGCCTGTGAGGAGCCGGGGGGGGGGGGCACACGCCTTGCCTTGCTGGATCGGCCGGGCAGGGGTGCTTACCTGCAGCGTTCTCCCGGTCCTCACATGGCTGCACCTGAAGCTTTTTTATTACTGAATTTATTGGGGTGCATTGGTTAACAGAATTAGATCTCAGGTGTGCAGTTCTATAGCATGTCCTCTGTGTATTGTATTTGCTCCTGAATCTTTGCTGTACGTGTGAATGACAAAGGAGAGAAGGGGTGGGGTAGGGAGTCTCAGATTTTAGAGGTAGAAAGTGGGGCGCGGGGGTTAGTGGGTTTCTTAACCAGCTCAAGGTCAGGCCCCAAAGGCAGCTCTAGTTTGGAGAATGTGCTTTTAGTGAGCGATGCCGCCTGTGGTGCACCGACTGTGCCTCTCCCACACTCCATCTCCAGCTACACACACACACACAGTCCTCGCCTGCTGAGTGTGGGTGGACAGCAGGTGATGTGTCACCCAGGGGCTGCTTCAGACAAAGATCAGAGACGGTCACGCTGAGGGGAAGGAAACCTGGGCATTTTGAGTGGCAGGGGGAGGTGGGAGTAGCATAGCTGCCTTACGCAAACTATTTATTTTAGGGAAACAGACTCCTATTGGATAAGTGCTTATTGCTAGAAAAAGTGGCCAAGTAAATAACACGGAGCCCGGCTGTGGACGTGGAAACTCGTCCGCACTAAGCTTGCTCCTGTGGCTGACACTGACATGAGCGCTTTTGTTCCCAGACCCCCAGGAAGAGTGCCCAGAAGTCTAGCTCTCCTGCAGCTGCCGCCAGAAGGCTCCCTGGTACCCCGCAGACCCCACCACTGCACACCCCTGAAAGGCAACCGAAGCCCCCTGCACCCCGGACCCCTGCCCGACAGGTGCTCTTGCGGTCCTTTCAGGATTCCTCCGTGCAGGGTTGCGATCTACCTTCTCCTCCTAAACTGCCTGCACGGAAAGGACGCCCCCTGCTGGAAAGAGGGGTCTCTCCCCTCGGAAGGATTCCCAGAACTCCCACAAGGCCACACGGCCGGCCCCTTGGGTTTTTGCAGGATCCTGCCCGGTCACCTGTCGTGAACTCCAGTCCTGGAAGCCCCTCTGGGCTGGCTGCCGCCTCAGTGCTGTCCACTGGCCAGGGAAGTCCTGGGGGTCTGACTTTCGGCAGGGTCTCTCTCAAGTCGCCCCCCGGAGAGGCACCGACAGGGGTGCAAAGGGACACAGCCCTCATGGGCACACCTCCCAACCAGAAACGCCAGTATCCCCGCGGCCTCAGAGCCTCTCAGGGAAAGGAGCCAGCACAGAAACAGCAGGTCGAAGCTGGCAGAACCCCAGAGAGGCCTGGGGACCCGCCCATGACGCCTTTCCCACCTGCTTCTCCAGAGGAGCCTTTGCCCTCTCCCGTCTGTGATGCCTCCCGGAGCCCACTCAGGACACCTCCGGCAGAATCTCCTCCCCCTGCACAGCTGGACTGGAAAGCGCTCTGGGATCCAGGCAGCCGGGCCCCGCCTCTCTCCCATCCTTCAACTGGCCCCAAAACCTCGCAGAGCGCTAACCCGGACGTCACACCCGGTCAGCCCCCCTCTCACATCAGGACAAGGGACAGCGGGACCTCCGATCCGGAGGGCCACTTCCCAGAGGGTGAGCCCAGGACCTCGGCTCCTCCTGCAGCTGATGCCATGGACAGCCCGGCTGTCTTCACCGACACTAAGAAGCACCCAAAGGACGTGGATCCCTCCTCTCCTAGGCCTCCCCAAAAGCACCGTGACCCTGCGCTTGGCTTCAGCAGTGACTGGCATCGTTCTTCCCCTTGGCTCATCGCAGGGGACACAGAGCACCTCCTTCTCCTGGATGGAGCCGAGGGCCGTGGTGCCCGGGGCCAGAGCAGCAGCGCTTCTCCCTCGGGTGAAGGTACGGGGTTGAGGACAGTAGTTGCCGATGAGGGGCCTTCTCTGTGTCCCCTCGGGGATCCCCCATCTCCCCGCTCTGGGCCCAGCTCCCCGCCGACACCATCCTGCACCCTGCACTGTCCTGAGCACAGAGGGCCACGCCGGGCAACCACTCCCACCCAGCTTTCAGGAGCCCCCACCAAGGTGCAGACCTATGAGGTGGAGCTGGAGATGCAGGCTTCCGGGGTGCCCAAGGTCCGAATTAAAAAGAGAGACGCCAGCCCTCAGTCAGTAGTCGAGCCCCCAAGGCGGGCCCAGAGTGTGCCCCCTGGTCTTGGCATGCCCAGGGCCAGCAAGCCCTCCTGCAAACCCGAGATCACCTATATGTCACCCCCCTGCCCCCACCCCTCACACAGCAGCCCCAGCAACAGTTGGGGACAAACCTACATCTGCCAGTCCTGCACCCCCAGCACCCCCAGCCCGTTTCAAACAGACGTTGGGGTCCCTTGGACACCGTCTCCCAAGCACGGTGGGAAGACAACTCCTGACAGCATCAAGGACTGGCCCCGCAGGAAGCGGGCGGTGCTCTGCAGCCTGGGCACTGCCACGGGGAGGGGCGACGCCGGCACAGGACTCCCTGCGGAGGGCAAGGAGCCGGGCCTCCAGCTCAGCGTCAGCAGGTCCCCTGTGCTGGGGGATTTTGAGCTCGAGGGGGTGTATCACCTGCCAGACCAGTCACCTCCCGGAGACAGCGAGTCAAAGGCCGAAGAAGCCTTCTCCTGGGGACAGTTTGGGTTGGGACCCAGGAAGAGACTACTTTCTGCTGAGGAAGCCGAGTGTGATGCCAAGAAGGTCTGTGACAGGCCGAGAAGAGACTGGGAAGTTGGTCAGAGCGAGGAGAGGTCCCCAAAGATGGGGGTGCGGCAGCTCCCTGCCACGGGGGTCGGCGAGGGACCAGTCTCTGGTGAGTCTGCTGACTGAGCCTGGCTGGGGGGCTGGGAGGGGTTGCTTCTCTAGGAGGATCGGGCTCCCTGTGTGGAGCCTGTAAGCCCCGCGGGTTGGAGGATGCCCTTCTAGACCTTAAGGGCCTGTGTAGGCTGAGCAGGGCAGTGCTGATCGAGTGCCATTCCGCAGGTTCCCCCTCACCGCCCGGCTGCGCCCCGCGCAGCTGCCTGTCTGCCAGCGGGCTCCAGGCACTGACCCAGTCCCCTCTGCTGTTCCCAGGGAAGACGGGCTCCTTGCAGCACAGAGACGCCCCAGGTAACTTGCGCGAGCTCCTGGGGCTCTTACTACGGCCAGCCCTGCATCCTTTGGGTGACTCCCTGGAGTAGGGTTAGGGCTGCCAGGCGGTTGAATTTGGGAGGGGTCCTGGCGACTGTTTGGTGACGGGGCAGGGGGCTGTCCCTGCAGCGATGTCCGCTGTGCCCTCCCCAGGGGAACGCCACGCTGAACTTCTGCAGGTTTGCACAGAAACCCCACAAAGCCCTACCAAATAGTTGAGGTTCTCGGAGATGGTGACAGAGAAGGGCACACGGCATGGTCCCTGGACTCTGAGGACACTGTCCCAGCTGGCCGTTCCCTCCAACAAGGGACTGGCTGTCGCTGTCAGGCTGCCCTTCTGCCGCCTGCCTGGAAAGCGCTGGGCTGAGCCCGTAAGCCACGCGGGTGGGAGGACGCCCTTCTAGACCTTAAGGGCCGTGCAGGAGGTGGGAAGTTTCCGTGGGCCTTGTCCCTTGAGACCATGATAGAAGGTGGGCAAAGTGGCATAAAGCCCCACAGACCTTTGTAAGAAAGACAAGTGGTCGGACTGAAGTAGGGCAGGGGCTTTGTTTCGACTGTGGAAAGCAGCTCTGCAGGGGAGAGCGTGACCTTCATGTGACCGCCTTCAGTCCCAGCCCGTTTTCCTTGTCCGCGTCCTCAGTCGCCACCTGTGTGTCTGCCTTTTTCTAGACGAGGACACGGACTTGTTTCCCCCAGCGGCCGAGGACTCGCCTTTCAGCGGAGCCTTTTCCAGGCGACGCCCCATCAGCAGAACCTACTCTCGGAAGAAGCTGATCAGCTAGTGAGGACGGACAGACCAGGGGACTGACAGCCGCAGACAGTGTGGGGCTGGCCCAGGCGCTCCTGCTTCCCCGCTGCAGAAGCGCTCCGGGAGCGCTGTGCTTGGCCACAGCTGGCGCTGCGGGCGCAGCGGAGCACCCAGAGGCTGGCGTCGCCTGAGCCGGGCCCGCCACACGGAACGGGAAGAATGGGCTTCTGGGAACTGGACGAGTTCCAAAGAGGAAGGTAGGGTCACTCCACAGGCATAAAGTCTCCGGGCCTGGCCCCAGCCTGCATCCCCTCAGCCCCTGCCCATGGTTGGAGGTGCTGTGCCTCAGAGGCAGCCTGGAGCCGGGCACGGCCCTGCAAGACCAGGATGCCATTCCAGCCCCACCCCGACCATGACCATGACAGGTCAGGACAGTGCTACCTTTCTTGTGAAGTGGGCCCCTTGTGAAGCTGCTACAAGGCTGGGACCCTGCCTGAGACAGGCGGGCGGCAGGGTGAATGTTTCACATTCCCTGTAACAATAAAGTTACCTCTGGCTACTCGGCTTCTGGCGCTTCTGAACAATGCTCAGCCCAAGGTTCACTGTGGCCGTGGCCCAGCTTGGTGCCCCGAGAGCCAGTTGCCGGCTCAGTCCTCGCCATCTGCGGGGGGGACTCACAGCGTCGGGTAGGCCGGCCTGCTGTGCTGCCCTGGTGCAGGGCCCGCCCGCAACTGCCCCCGGGTCTCGGAGTGACTTCCAGGCCCACTGCGCTCCCAGAGCCGCTTCCTGCTATTGTCGGTCAAACTCAGTGAACGCCCTGTGTCTCCAGAGGCTGTTCTCATTTATTACAAAATGTTTGTACAAAACTCCAAACACCTGCTGCTCTCTGACCCCCCCCCCGCACTGTGCCCACTTAAGCCCCAGGCCGCTCCGGGACCAGCTCCCAGCTGCCCTGTGAGTGAGCGCACAGCCTGCAGACCGGAAGCGACCTGCTGGAACCGCTCAGAGCCAAAGGCGGCCGTCCTACCGCAGCTCACAGGAAGGGGACAGTGGGGGAGCGATGCTTTTTAAAAAAGTCGTAACACCTGAGCCCAGTTCACTTGGGCTGACTCGGATTTAGAGTGAGGTGAGGACTCCTTGGCAGACGCAGGCACGCACTGTACCTTTCAGGGGGCTGGACGCCCCTCCAAGGCCGGCTCTGCCCCGGGCCTACAGGGGGCTCCTCCTGACGTCGATCATCCCCGGGCTGGCCCTGCGCAGCTCCCGCCGGGGTCTGCCCAAGGGCCCCGCCTGCCAGGGCAGGGCCCCCACCCCCACAGGCAGCACCTGCCCGACAAGGGGCTCTGAAGCCTCCCGCTGCCGCGGCTCCTCCGGGGACCCCTGCTCCTCACTGCCCAGGCTGGAGCGCTTCCAGGTCAGTGGGAGCGGGGCGTGGACCAGGCCCCGCCCCTCCTCCCGGGCACAGGGGGCGCCCTCTGCAAGGGGCAGCTGCCCAACAGGCTCAGGTGCTGCGCGCAGCTCGTCCTCATTTCCAGGACACGGGCCTGTCACGGAGGACAGCGACACCCAGGTCAGGAGGGGAGGTGCCAGCGCCCAGCACAACAAGCAATGTGGAAAAGGAGCCCCAAAGAGCTGTGGGCAGAGGGGTTTCTCCAAGGGAGGGCCGCGTGTCCAGCCACAGCGAGGCTCACCCCTGCTCGGTACCCCTGCTCCCGTACCGCTCAGCTTCTGCTTCAGCTCCTGGTTCATCCACATGTGGTGGCCCAGCTCCCTCTCCAGATCCTGGATCCTGGCCTCATACTGCCTCCTGCTGTCGGCCAGCCCTTCGCCAAGGTGGTCTGTGGGGACACACAGAGAGGTGGGGTGGCCAGGCGCATGGGGTGGGGCTGTGCGTGAGCTGCGTGCGGGCCTCACCTCGGCTCTGCTGCAGGAGCAGCTGCAGGCTCCTCTCGTGCTCCTTCTGCTGCCGGGTCAGCTGGCGGTCCGTCTCCAGGCGCTGCCGCTCTAGGGCCGCCTCCAGCCAGTACACCAGTCTCTGCTGCTCCTCCCGCAGCAGCGTCACCACCTGTGCGGAGGCCGGTCCTGCTCAGACATGGTGCTGACTCCCTGCACCAGGGAACCCTCAACCAGGGACAGACTGGCCAGCACTGCCCCACGCCATGCCCAGCATGTGGCTGTGGGCACACGCCAGGGGTTCTGTGTGAGGCCAGGACCCAAAGGACCCAGGAGGCAGGCCCTGCAGGAACCCTGAGGCCCCCCAGCCTGGCTTCACCAGCTCCAGCCACAGCCCCACCATCTCCTCCTGCTGCTCACGCAGAGGGGGGAGACGGACTAGAGAGCCGGGGCAACTGGGACGAAGCGCAGGAGACTGGGGAACAGGTGTGAGGCCCCCCACTTCCTGAGGAGGGTCAAACACTCTGATCACCTCTTGGTTACACACACACACACACACTCTCTCACACACATACAGCCCCCACATCCCCGCCCCAAACTGACTGGCTCCAGCTCTCATCCCACCCTGCCAGTCCTCCATGTCCCTGCCAATCACTGCCACCAGAGGGTGCCAGGAGCAACGCCGACCCAGTTACCTTGGAACCAAGAAAGGATCCAGCTACAGTGGCCCACCCTGCTGCCCTCCAGGCCCACCTGCCACCCACACTCAGGAGCATCCTGCACACCCACCCACACTGTTGTGTTCCACCACAAGGGTTTAGCTTCTGCCCGTTTGTGCACGCCCTCATCTCCCCTGCTCTGGCTGCTTTCCTCCCGCTGGGAAACTCGCTCCCTGGCACCCCCTCCGTGGAAGTGGCAGCCCCACCTGCAGCTTGTACTGCTCCGTGGCGTCCTCCAGGCAGGGCAGCCAGAAAGTCTCAGTTCTCCTCCTCCAGCCGGGCCACCTGGCTCTGCAGGGCCTGCATCGCCCCCTCGCCTTCCTAGGGGGCAGGGAGACAGGCTTCAGGGGCAGGAGGGAGCAGGACAAGCCTGTCTGTCCCTGGGGCACCCCAGCCCTCCCTCTGCCCTGCCCAGGGCCACACCTTGGTTTTGGCCACCTTTCTGCCACCTGGGCCCTGACCCACACTGGCCTCCATAGTGTACATCTATCCAGAGCCGGTCTGGCCATAGGCAAAGACCATGGCATTGAAGCCCCGAAGAAAGCCTCCATCAGGGGCTGCACACAGGCCTGGTATACGGCCTCCTGCCTGGCGTGCTGCACCACATGGAAGCCAAAGTGGCGGTCCCGGCCCAGGGTGACCTGGTTGCACCCCGGCTCCACCCGCAGACAGCGCTGGTGCCCACACAGCAGTTCCTTGGGCAGCAGTGGGCGGACTCGCAGGGCCACCCTCACCGGGGCCTCCTCAAGGCTGATGTGGCCCCTGGTGAAAATGAGTCTCACGTCCCTGGCTTAGATCTTTGAATCCTTAGTAAAACTCGGGAGTGTGGGCTGCAGGGGACTGTGAGAACCTGTCATCTTTGGAGCATTTTCTTCTGTGTAAAGGATAGTGAGCTTGACTTCTGCCAAAATGGAGGCATAGGTGGAGATGCCGTGCTTTCTCATACAACCAAGTTCAGAGACAACTAAATATTAGCAACAGAAAACACAGCCAGAACACAGAAAATTGAACTTTTCGGAAGTCTGATAACAAATTCTTCAGCCTGACCGGTAAGAGGGGCAAAACCAGCAGCTGGCGGAGCGGGGTAGCACAGGAAAACTCGGTCAGACGGACTCAGGCGCGCGGAATCCAGGCGCAGGGTTGGACCTAGTGAGAGACCCAGCGACCTCGGGGAAACAGTGAGGAAGCAGGGTTGCGGGTTCACTGTGGTCGTGCATTCGTGCGTGGATAGACAAGCGAGGGAGTGGGCGATGGACCGGGACCCAGCGGGTCCCCGCAGCAAGCAGCAACAGAGGGCGCTGCCATTTCCCTGCTCTGACCCCACCTCCACATAACCCAGCAACTCTGAGTGGCCCGGCCCTGGTGAACCACCTAAGACTTTGCTCCTCACCCAGCTGGGCGAGAACAGCAGAAGGGGCTGCCATTTCCCCGCTCTGACCACGCCCCCACATACAGGGTCACAACCCAGCAACCTGGGAGTCCAAGCTCCTCTCCTCATATTTAAGGGACACGAACAGACCAAAAATGGCTCAAGAAGATCTCAAAGCCTCAGAGCCTATAAATCTAAGCAATGAAGAAATAGCAAAACTCTCAGACGCACAGTTTAAAACACTGGTCATCAGGATCCTCACAGAACTGGTTGATTATAGCCACAATTTAGAGAAACATATGAAGGCGAAACTAATTGAAATGAATGGAATTGCACAGGAAACCAATAACGATGAAAAGGAAACTGGGACTCAAATCAAAGCAGTGGACCAGAAGAAAGCAAATAATGGCCAAACAGAAAAGAGTGAGGAAGCAAGAATTCAAAGAAATGAGGAGAGTCTTAGGAACCTCCAGGACATCTTTAAATGCTCCAACATCCGAATTATAGGGGTACCAGTAAGGGGGAAAGGCACAGCCACCAGTGGAAAACTTATTTGAACAAATAATAAAGGAGAATTTCCCCAATCTGGCAAAGGAAATAGACTTCCAGGAAATCCAGGAAGCTCAGAGAGTCCCAAAGAAGTTGGACCCAAGAAAGAACACACCAAGGCACATCGTCATTACATTAGCCAAAATTAAAATGAAGGAGAGAATCCTAGAAGCATCAAGAGATAAGGGGACAGTCACCTACAAAGGAGTTCCCATCTGTCAGTGGATTTCTCAAAAGAGACCTTACAGGCAAGAAGGGGCTGGAAAAGAGGTATTCTAAGTCATGAAATCCAAAGACCTACAACCAAGATTGCTCTATCCAGCAAAACTTTCATTTAGAATGGCAGGACAGATAAAGTGCTTCTCAGATAAGACCAAATTCAAGGAGTTCATCATCACCAAGCCCTTATTATATGAAATGTTAAAGGGACTTACCTAAGAAAAAGAAGTTTAAAAAACATGAACAGTGAAAGGACAGCAAACTCACAGTTATGAACAACCACACCTAAAACAAAAGCAAACTAAGAGGACAGCTAGATCAAGAGTGGAAACATGGAAATGAAGATCTCAAGGAGGGTTAGCAACGGGAGTGGGAGGAGGAG